GAAAAGCATTGCTTCCGATGTAGAATTGGAAAATGTGGGTAGAGATTGCCTAATGAACAGGCAAATAGAAACTCATGTCCCCCATAACATTTGAGACCATCAAGAAGAGTAAAGGTAAAAGTAATGGTTCCCCTCGCACATATGTGCTAGTCGTTCCCGACTCTAGGGGGCGGTGCTCACCTCCATTTCAAAGCCAAAGAGCCAAAGCCAAATCTTCGCTATCCGAAGATGTCTCTGTGGTCATGTGGCCAGCATGACTCAATGCCAAAGGTGCACAGAACACTGTTACCTTCCCACCAAAGGTGGTCCCTATTTTTCTACTTGCATTTTTTATGTGCTTTTGAACTGCTAGGTTGGCAGAAGCTGGGACAAGTAACGGGAGCTCACCCTGTTACGCAGCACTAGGATTTTAACTGCTGAACTGCCAACCTTTTGATCGACAAGCTCAGAGTCTTAGCCACTGAACCACCACATCCCTTCAAGAAGGGTAGATTAGTCAAATTTGCTAAGCATTAAGGACATTGCCAGCCAACTGAGGACATTTTAGCCTGTAAGGTAAACATAATCAAAGCCTAGTTTTAATCTAATATTTTACCCTATTCTGTGAAATCTAAGATTTCTAATCTTGACAGTATATTGCAAGCTAATATAATTAAGTGTTTGTTTTTTTCCAGTGAGACCTGGTCTACTCAATTATGGGATGGAGCACACTGCTTCCGCTTTCGTGTTTCAGCCCCAATCCAGGAGCCTTCGCAGGCAGTCGCTTTTGTGACAAACTAATTTTTTGTGTTGAATTTATATTTTTCCAACAAAGAAATAAAGAAATAACGTCTCCTTTTATTTCTTTGTCAGTAAAGGATAAATTCAAAACAAGCTAATATAATATTATTTATATACACCATAACTTAAGACAGAGATGTGTTATAAATGCACCCACTCAGTATTCTTAATATTTGCACATGCTAATTCCCATCTTTTAGTCCAATGTAATCTGATACATCAATATAACAATCAAACTTAATTCAACATAAAAAAAGAATTTAATGAACCTCTTTGGAGACGTAGAAAAAACTTGCTTCCTTATAGATTGCTACTCTTGAGAAGTGGAAAACATAGTCTCTGGTTTAATTTATGGACCTATAGTCTTGGTCATTGCCTCCACTGCTTAAGATCACTGCATCTATTACAGCTTAACATTAGCTTGGTTGATGCATCACATTATGACATAATGTGATTGCTTATATTTTGGCTTAATTGTAATTTAATATGGTAAACTATAATGTGTGTATGCAATTAATAATTTATAGGCCATTCGCTTTTAGTTAGCTTGCATTTGAACAAAATCACAAGACAAAATCAGATCTCACTGAAATAAATCAAGCAGATTTTTCTGCCACCAGCATACAACAACACTGTGGAAATTTTGTTGTTGTTACTTAAAAACTTCAGGCCATTAGGCCATAAGGATCTTGGGTAAAAAATGTTCTAAAGCGTGGAAAAGACTCAACTTCAATCCTAACCTCCCTCACTTGTACCTTCCTCAGTGACCAGTGGGCTCTGTTTGGGTGAAAAAGTTGATCCTGTATTTATCTAAATGCCAAGTAATGTAGAACTTTAAAGATGACAATCAGTATCTTCAACTGGACACAGAAATGAACTAGAGATTAATCTATGACTTCCATGTAGCACTCCATTTTGATGAGCCATGGTGGCACAGTGGTTAGAATGCAGTACTACAGGCTACTTCTGCTGAATGTTAGCTACCAACTGTTTGGCAGTTCGATTCTCACCAGGCTCAAGGTTGACTCAGCCTTCCATCCTTCTGAGGTCAGTAAAATGAGGACCCAGATTGTTGGGGGCAATATGCTCACTCTATAAACCACTTAGAGAGGGCTGTATATAAGCGATTGCTATTTTGAGCCAGTTTTATTTGTAAATAATTTTCAAGAACAGTCTATCTACAGCATCTTTCTGTAGTCTATACATAAGGTTACCAGTCAGCATTACCAGGGCATATCAGTCTAGAAAAGCCAGGACCAGACACTTCAGCTAAAGAAAACTCTCGTAGCTATGGATTTTATATGCTCTTTTGGTAGGAGTCTTCTTCTTCAGAGACACCAGACAATGATCAATCCAGTTTCATCACCAAGATTCCCAGGGGAAAAAAAATCAATTTTAGAGGATTTTCATTTGCTTCACCCACTCAGGAAGTTATAGCCTCCAAGAAGCAGACCAAGACTTGTACAGCGGTTATCCAGTTTAGCCCAGATATTATTTATTTATTTATTTGTCGAGTACATATTAGATAATATATATAAGCATAAGCATGAATTGAATACATAAAATGAATACAATTAAAGGGAACATTAGGATAGGGACTGTAGGCACGCTGATGCTCTTATGCCTGCCCCTTACATTCTTTCTTAGGAATGGGGTGAGGTTTAACAGTAAGGTTAAAGTTTTGGGGGTTTGGGGATGAAACCACAGAGTCTGGTAGTGCATTCCAGGCATTAAAAACTCTGTTATTGAAGTCATATTTTCTGCAATCGAATTTGGAGTGGTTCACTTTAAATTTGTATCTATTGTGTGCTTGTGTATTGTTGTGGTTGAAGCTGAAGTAGTCATTGATAGGTAGGACATTGTAGCAGATGATTTTATGAGCTACGCTTATAAGGCGGCATAGTTCTAAATATTCTAAACCCAGAATTTCAAGCCTGGTGGCATAAGGTATTTTGTTGCGAGCAGAGTGGAGGATTCTTCTTGTGAAATATTTCTGGATGCGCTCAATTGTATTAATGTCCGATATGCAGTGCGGGTTCCAGACAGATGAGCTGTATTCGAGAATTGGTCTAGCAAATGTTTTGTATGTGCTGGTTAGTAGTGTAATATTACCGGAGAAGAAGTTATGCAACCCTTAATGCAGTGGTGAAATCCAAATTTTTTTACTACCGGTTCTGTGAGCGTGGCTTGGTGGGTGTGGTGTGGCTTGGTGGGTGTGGCAGGGGAAGGATACTGCAAAATCTCCATTCCAACCCCACTCCAGGGGAAGGATATTGCAAAATCCCCATTCCCACCCCACTCTTGGGCCAGCCAGAGGTGGTATTTGCTGGTTCCCCGAACTACTCAAAATTTCTGCTACCGATTCTCCAGAACCTGTCAGAACCTGCTAGATTTCACCCCTGCCTTAATGCCTTTTGGTGATGTTGTTACAGTGGGCTTTGGCACTTAGATCATTTGATATGAGTACTCCAACGTCCTTGACAGAGTGAGGGTCATCTACAAGGTCATGTCCACTTAGCTTGTATTTTGTGTTCTGATTCTTTTTGCCAATGTGTAAGACAGAGCATTTGTTGGTTGAGATTTGGAGTTTTTTTACCATTCCAACACAAAGTTTACTCTGAACCAATGGTTGTCATCCCTAGTGTTTTCACAAAGATGATACAGAGTGTCATGCCCCCATCAGAGTCTGAATCTGTGGCAGAAGATGAGCTTGAACAAGAACTGACAGTGAGTGAGAGGGCAGGTCCATTGGCCTTGGTGGAAACTGGGGAAGGGCAGAATCAGTCCAGGCAAGGCTGTTTGGAATTAGCAAGGTCTGCAGGCAGCGTGGAGAGACAGAGCTCAGACAAGGAGCAAGAACCACCCCCTCCTGATGCAAGGGCTAAGAGAGTGCAGAGAAGACGGGATCAGTGCAGGCAGAGAAGGCCCCGTGCGAGGAGAGTGCCCCAACCAGCTTCAGCTTCACCAGGAACACCTGGGGAATGAGACTTAAGGAGATGCCAGGGGAGGGGTATTTGTTGGGAACAAACACTGAGTTCCTGAAGTGTTGTGTGGCAACGTTTGAACTTGCCAAAAGTCCTTGCATTCCTTGTTGGCATTCTGGACTAATTGTCTGGATCTTTTACTCCCTGAACTCCTTGCTTGGCTCTTGTTTGGCCAAATACATTTGGGATTTATTACCGTGCAGCCTGGGTGCAGACAGCGCTGGACTGGACTAATTGCAGCCAGAGGCTATTTGATGTTTGTGTGGGGGTTTGTTCTCACTCTGCTTTAGGACTTGCCAGTAACATGGGAGCATTTGGGGAGATTTGGAGTGATAAAGGGGCTGTTTAGACTGCCAGTGGTTTGTGTTATCTCTGTGCCATGTCCTGGGTCACCACACAGAGCATGGTGGAGAGGATTGACCCTTTGGAACAGTTTGTCTTCAGAAATTGTGGGTTCTCCATCACTGGGAGCTTTTAAGAAGAGCCTGGACAGCTACCTGGCTGAAATGATATGGGGTCTTCTGCTTGAGCAGGAGATTGGACTAGAAGACCTTCAAGGTCCCTTCCAATCCTGATATTCTATTCTATTCTACCCAGTTGGAGTGAGGTGGCATCCTCCCTCTCTCTCCCTCTCTCTTTCCCTCTCCCCCTCTCAACTATCTATCTATCTATCTATCTATCTATCTATCTATCTATCTATCTATCTATCTATCTATCATCTATCTATCTATCATCTATCATCTATCTATTATCTATCTATTATCTATCTATCTATCTATCTATCTATCTATCTATCTATCTATCTATCTATCTATCTATCTATCTATCTATCATCTATCATCATCTATCTATTATCTACCCATCTATTCATCTAGCTGTCTAGTTGAGGATCTCATTCCTATCTTTCCCTAAAAGGGATGCTAAAAATCCTAAATACAGCTGCTGGATGTGGGTTCATGGACCATCAAGATCAAAAAGAAAAGGGAATTTGCCTGTTCTTAACAACATGTTATACTTACAAATATGGCTTATAGCTGTGCCACCATGATTCACTCTTTTCTCCACCATAATTCTAGAAGTCTCTTCATTGGTTTAGTTTTACACATAAGTGAAAGAAAGATTTCTTTAACAAACAAACCACACATTGGTGGTGGAATTGTGTCAGCCGTATCAAATAGAATCATACGAAGAAAGAGACATTCTATAGATCTAAGCTTCTTTGATTGGAACAGTTTTAGAAACAGAATCTTGCACATTTGAATGTGTTACCTTTCCTTCCTCTTTTGTCTCCATGAAAATTTGGGGTGGGGAAGGGAAACTCTCTAAGGCTGTGATGGCGAATCTGTGGCACGTGTGCCACAGGTGGCACACAGAGCCATATCAGTGGGCATGCGAGTGTTGCCCTAGATCAGCTCCATTGTGTATGTGTGCGCCGGCCAGCTGATTTTCAGGCCTTCTGGGCCCACTGGAAGTCAAGAAACAGGCTGTTTCCAGCCTCTGGAGGACCTTGGAGAGGGGGGGAGGCCATTTTCACCCTTCCCAGGATTCTAGAAAGGCTTTGGAGCCTGGGGAGAGCAAAAAAATGGGCCTTCCGGTCCCATCAGAAGTCAGCAAATGGGCCATTTCCAGCCTCCAGGGGCCCTCTGGGGGGGGGGATGGGGAAGGCTGTTTTCACCCTTCCCAGACTCCAGAGGCTTTCTTGGAGCCTGGGGAGGGTGAAAAATGGGCCTACTCGGCCCACCGTGCCATCGTATACCAAAAGAGGGGGAAGTGTGGGGGAATCACATGCACATGCATGGGGGGGCAGGGAGCATTGAATTATGGGTGTGAGTACACAGGCACATGACCGCCCATGCTCCCCCCACTTTTGGCATGCGACGGCAAAAAGGTTAGCCATCACTACTCTAAGGCATTTTTGCAAAGTATCATCTTGGCCTGGGGTCAGTTTCATTTATCTGATTATTGACTTGATAGTGGTTCTTCCTTATTCATCAATTCCATCCTCTTTCTTCACTACAACATAGACAATTTCATTTTAGATCCTTACTGGAGTAGATCAATAAATATTGGCTCGCATTAGAACCATTGGAACCATTGATGTTAACTTGGATCATATTAATTGTGTGCTATAAGAACTGCTAAACTGCAGTCTAATTTATTAAATTGTTTGATGGCTGGGGTATCTGAGCTGGCAGAAAAGGAATTTTCACTTTTTTTAAAAAAAAATGGGGAGGAGGTTTGTGTAGCATTATTAAAATGCTATACAATTAAATGCTAATACTGTATAAAAATGCTAATACAGAATATACCCATAAAGTTTACCTTTCGCATAAACTTAAATGTTACGATTATTGAAATTGGAATACATGATTAACTTGGATAATACTTTAACATACATGTGCAAATTTAGGACTATCATTTATGGCCACAAATAAATATTAAATTGTGGTCACCAGCCTTAGGTTGTCTTTTTTTCTCCCTCTCAGACTAAAGCACTTTGGATTCAATCTAACATTTTTTTGTCTTTGAAAACCATTTTTAATGCGGTGAATTGTCCCTTGAATATGTCAGAGTCACAGCTTTCCCATCTGCCTTTAAGCAGTCTTCAAAAGCTATGCGTAGAACAAAGTTAAGAAGCTAGGTATTTTCTTTTCTTTTGATTATCGACTCTAAAATGGAGAGAAAAATAGATTCAATAGAGAAAAAAGAACACTGCAGCTGCTTGTAGTTCTTGTTGGTCCAGTAAAATACATTAGGTGCTTGGCTTAATAGAAAGTCAGAAAGGAAAGGGCTTCTTAAGAAAGCACTACAAAGTATTTTAGGGAAGCCAGTCATTGCTTGGGTTTGCGAAACAAGTCCCAATAATAATTTAACCTTGACACTCCTTTTTCTCCTCAGCAGAATCCACTTCAGAAGCCAAGACCAGTTGGTTGGCATTATGTTCCCCCAGCAGAACAAGCCGTTGCATAAAGGAGTTGAGCAATTCATTTGCAGCATTGCCAGATGGGTTCATTCCTATCCCAGGAGTTGAAAAAAAAAATTTAACCTGCTTTTCTATTCTTCACGGTCACGAAGGGATCCAATTTACGAAGACTTTCCAAACCACCTATTGTAAAAGTATCTGCATGGTATGAGGAAAAGATCAAATTATATGTAGCCTTCCCCACAAACCCAGCAGAGAATGTGCTGGGTAATCAGGACAGGGATACCTATGGGATGATATGAAAAAAAAATGAAATAAAGATGACAACTGAGACAGGGTACTCAAACTTCTGTCTCTTGTTAATGTGTGTTGCACATATATGTGTATTTCACAAATGGATTGTTATATATTACTTCAATTTTTTGTTTGGCAGTTGCAGGAAAGAATGGAGGAAGCAATGGCATAAGTATAAACATATTAGACTGCCTCTCTCTCTCTCTCTCTCTCTCTCTCTCTCTCTCTCTCTCTCTCTCTCTCTCTCTCTCTCCCTCCCTCCCTCCCTCCCTCCCTCTCGCTCTTCCCCCCCTCTCTCTCCCCTCTCTCTCCCTCCCTCCCTCTCTTCCTCTCTGCAATCTCACTATATTTACATTCTATATGACAGAGGACAGTTGCCCATTTCTAATACAATGAATCTTTTCTGCTGAGCATGACCACTGACTGTATCTGCCCAATACCATACCTGGTTAACTGTACTCATGCCATAATTATTATCCCAACTACTAGGTTCTTATACTACGTAAGCTATAAATGGGCAAATGAATCACAAAATGTACTAGATTGAATGGTAGTTGGCTAACTTGTAATTCAATGTATCATTTCAATACCGCCACTTTTTTTTTTTTCCTCATTTACAGCTTGGCTTGATTGAATTGTACTATAAATGTTTGATCGGTCCTATTACAAATCATGGAAGAGAGAGACAATCAATGTTATTTTAAAATGAACTCAAAGTTTGATGACAGGAAGGGACAGAAAAGTTTATTCTGTTCCTTCTTTGGGCTGCTGTTACTTCAAAGAGTAGTAAGAGAAAGTTGACTAGATGCTTTCTAGATATTTAAATTACAACTCCCAGAATCTCCCATCAGTGAATATGCATTTGGAAGACTTCTAATTCCTTAGTGCTGAGAAAGATCTTACTGTAACAATTGTAAATCGTATGGCATCTTTTCAATTTCAGTCTATATTGCTTGTGTATGTTCATATTGATTGATTGAATGAATGAATGAATGAATGAATGAATGAATGAATGAATGAAAACAGACCTCAAATAAACAAAATCATTGGAATCTATACAATAATTTAGAGGAAAAAAGGCAGGCAACCATTGACATTCATAACTGGTATATACATAGGAGACTATGATAAGTCAAGACCAACAAAGTTTTATAAAGATTGTAAAGGTTGGTAGACTCCAGCAGAGAAATTAGTGGGGAAAAATATAATCAGACATGAAAGAATATTATAGTACAAATGAAACAAACAAAATGTTCAAAAGTTATATTTATGTAGTTACTTACCAAGCAAATTATATCTAAATTATATTAAAGTAACCAAAATATATTTACAATCCCCAAGGCATGTCACAACTTTTGAACACCCCTAAGATTTGGAAATTGAAAGTTGAAAAAAATGACACTCCCCACAACAGGAAAAAACAGAATCCCATACTTAATTGTACAGCAAATCCACCAGCTTCTGATAGCCCTTGCCGATGCTAAAAATATTGCAATTTTTTTGAATATTTCACTACATTGAATTTTCAGGTAGCAGATCTGTAACCTATCATTGTGGTAGGTGAGAAAGGTTGTTAAACAAGTAGTTTGCTAAGCTCAAGATGTCATCATAATACAATATAAGGAATATTTAAATAATATGTACTACCACCTCCAGTTCAGTATCTGAGCACATGCAGAGGCCATTCTGGTAGGACATATTATTATAGCCACCTCATATCATCATTTGGGTCAGAAGAATATTATAAAAATATGTATGTATAATGAAATAAACTACCCCAGGCTCAGGGCAGTGAAATGTAAATATTTCAATATTCTTTTGTGAACAGTCCTAATTTTAACAAATACTTGATCTCTCTCTGCAGCAGTTCAGATTATAAAATAAGTACAAAATTATAGATGCATCAAGCTTCAAAACATAATACACAAACTTTCAAGCACTTGCATGGTAAAGACAATATTTGACATCTATTTAATGATACAACATGTGAAGAAAATGGGGCTATCCGGTGGCTTCTGTCCTTTGTGATTGTGGTGACATGCACACAACAATACATATGTATATCTGCCCTTTGTGTCCCAATGAGTGTATATTTGGGGACTTCATGGCAGCATGACAGAATGTAATTAATGTTGCTAGTTTCTGGGCAAGATTTGCTTAACTCGTACGCATGTTAATTTTATATTTTAAATTTTATGTTGTATAGTATGCCTTATTTTAATTATGTTTCTGATAATAAACAAACACGTGCAGAAGCTCTACTTACTGTAGAGCTTTTCCTGGACTCCAAATCCCTCTTCCTATGATAAAGCAGATAATCATAATGCTTTTGGAGAGACATCTTTGGAGTTCCAGAATTGATGAGCTCAATTTTATCTACCAGGAAAAAAAATGTTATGGGTATCTGCCAGATAAACTTGAGCTCGCCAATTCTGGAACAGAACATTCCATAAAATGTCTGGAACCCTTTGTTTTAATTCCAGACCAAGGTGGGTTTTCTCTTGGACCATGCCTTTGTGAAGTTGGCAAGTAAATTGTCCACATTAGAAGAAAGTTGAAGTAACCTAGAGGTTTTGTTTCAGGAAAAGTGGTCAAATGTGATTGGGAAGAAAAAGACATCAGAATGTTCCATAGTTCAACTCCTAATGACAAGCAATGGAAAGAGAAATTACCCAAAATATATGGGAGAAATCACAAAGCAACAGCACTTAAAGGGGATCTGAATGATCCCATCAATAAAGCTTCTCCCAAATTGTAGATAGGTAGGTAGGTAGGTAGATAGATTAGGTAGGTAGGTAGATTAGATAGATAGATAGATAGATAGATAGATAGATAGATAGATAGATAGATAGATAGATAGATAGATAGATAGATAGATAGATAGAAAGAAATAATGTACTTAGGTACAATAGGTAGGTAGGTAGGTAGATAGGTAGGTAGGTAGGTAGGTAGGTAGGTAGGTAGGTAGGTAGGCAGGCAGGCAGGCAGGCAGGCAGGCAGGCAGACAGACAGGCAGACAGACAGACAGACAGACAGACAGACAGAATTCTTATTGGCCAAGTGTGATTGGACACACAAGGAATTTGTCTTTGGTGCATATGTTCTTAGTGTACATAAAAAGAAAAGATACATTTGTCAAAATCATAATAGTGCAATGCTTAATGATAGTAGTAGGATACAAATAAACAATCGAATCATACTAAGAAACAACTAATATAAATCATAAGGAAACAGCAACAAGTTACAGTCATGCAGTCATAATTGGGAGGAGATGGGTGATAGGAACGATGAGAAGATTAATAGTAATAGTAATGCAGACTTAGTGAATAGTTCAACAGTGTTGAGGGAATAATTTGTTTTGCAGAGTGATGGTGTTCAGGAAAAAACTGTCCTTGTGTCTAGTTGTTCTGGTGTGCAGTGCTCTATAGCGTCGTTTTGAGGGTAGGAGTTGAAACAGTTTATGTCCAGGATGTGAGCAGTTTGTAAATATTTTCACAGCCCTCTTTTTGACTCGTGCAGTATACAAGTCCTCAATGGAAGGCAGGTTGGTAGCATTTTTTTTTCAGTTCTAATTATCCTCTGAAGACTGTGTCTGTCTTGTTGGGTTGCAGAACCAAACCAGACAGTTATAGAGGTGCAGAGGACAGACTCAATAATTTCTCTGTAGAACTGAATCAGTAGCTCCTTGGGCAGTTTGAGTTTCCTGAGGTGGTGCAGAAAGAACATTCTTTGTTGTGTTTTTTGGATGATGTTTTTGAAGTTAGGTGTCCATTTTAGGTCTTGAGATATGATAGATCCTAGAAATTTGAAGGTCTCTACTGTTGATACTGTGTTGTCTAATATTGTAAGAGGTGGTTCAGAATTAAATTAGGAGTAAAAATGTGAATGGGTAGCCTATCTAAAAATGAGGGAATTCCTTAATGCTAGAGTATTTGCTAACACATTCATTGATTAGGAGCCAGGGACTTAAATGTCTCTCCAAATGCATGTAGCTAAGCTGAAAATGAGGTGATATCAGCCACTGACAGTGATTTGGCTGCATTCAGTTTCTTTCATTTCAACTTTTGTAATGTGGCCAGCTACAAATTTTAACTTTCCATTCTCCTGCACATATACATGTGCAGGATGTTCTTGTATATTGCAATGCTGGTTCTGCAAACACAACTGGGAGTCCTGTCCAGCTTTTAGTAACAGATTAACAGAGTTGGAAGGGACCTTATAGGTCATCTAGTCCAACCCCATGCACAAGCAGGAGACCCTACACCATTTCTGACAAATGGCAGTCCAATCTTTTCTTGAAAGTCTCAAGTTCCTCCATCCTGGCCCTACCTGACCTCTCAGCGGCTTTCGATACCATGGTATCATTACTGCAACAACTTGGGGGGTTGGGGGTAGGAAGCACTGTTCTACAGTGGTTCTCCTACCTCTCAGGTTATTCACAGTTTGTATGGGCAGGGGGGCAGAGGTCCACCCCGAGGCTCCTAACCTGTGGGGTGCCTCAGGGGTCGGTTCTCTCCCCCCTACTCTTTAACATCTATATGAAGCCGCTGGGTGAGATCATTCATGGTTTTGGGGTGAGGTATCATCAATATGCTGATGATACTCAGTTATAAATCTCCACCCCGGGCCACCCCGAGCCACCCCGGGGATGCTCTTTCCATGTTGTTCTGCTGCCTGGAAGTGGTACGGGCCTGGATGGGTAGGAACAGGCTCAGACTCAACCCCTCCAAGACTGAGTGACTGTGGATGCCGGCATCTTGTGCTCTAGAAGTCCCATCACTTTTGATGGGGGGGGAGGTGCTTGCTCCCGTTGAAAGGGCCCGCAATTTAGGTATCTTCCTGCATTCCCAGCTGTTTCTGGAAGACCATCTTATGGCCGTGACCAGGGGGGCTTTCGCTCAGGTTCGCCTGGTGCACCAGTTGCGCCCTTTCCTAGACTGAGATGCTCTTCGCATGGTCACTCATGCCCTGGTTACTTCTCACTTGGATTACTGCAACTCCCTCTACATGGGGCTGCCCTTGAGGTGCACCCGGAGGCTCCAGCTGGTTCAG